TTTACGAGCCTTCTGAGACGGCCCGCCCCCTCTCGCGTCCCCCCTGGGTTGGCTGCCGAGCGAGGTCCCTTCTTGGTGCCAGTTGCGCCCAGACTCACGGGGAGAGTTCTCCAGGAGTAGCCAGTGCCCCCACCTGTCGTTTTTCTACGCGCGCGAGTGCCATGCTAGTATCCTGTTCCCATCTCTGATTCTGCTCCTCTCTTCCTTGTATCCCTCTGCCGCCGTTTCACTTCAAGTGCCGGCGTGAAGGCAGTAACCGAATGCTGCGGATTTTTGTTATTGCGAAGGCGTACCGCAGGCGCCTCTCAAATACAGTACAAATCCACTTCAGCGTTGACATAATTGATTCGTTGCCAGATTGTCTAGTTGCCGAGCAATTCCATGCAAAACCAAGCAATGCAAGCCAATGCAAAGCAATGCCAAGCGATGCCAAGCAATGTCAAACCATGCCACGCAATGCAAAGCATTGCCAAGCAAGGCAAAGCATTGCCAAGCAAGGCAAAGCAATGCCGAGCAATGCCAGGCAATGCAAAGCAATGTCAACCAACGCCAACCAATGCTAAGCAATGCCAGGCAATGCCAAGCAAAGCAAAGCAATGACACTGCACATCAATGCCAAGCAGCACAAAGCAATGCAAATACATGAAGCGTAATGCAACGCAATGCAACTCACCGCCAAACAACGCCAGGCAGCGCAAAGCAATGCAGCCAAGCACGGCAATGCACAGCGATGCCTTCCCTGCTCAGTCATCTGCGTGGGAAGCGCATCCGTGGCCACGGTCGCTGGCCGCGCCTCGCTCGAGAAACGTCAACGTGGCCCTCCAAGGCCCTTTGCATCCTTATTCTGCTCCTCGACTGTACGAGCCCAGCCCAATCCGCCCAACCGTGCACGTGTGGACAACCCGCGCGTGATCGGCAGCGCGCGGTGCAGCTGCGCCGAGTCCCCCCCTGGGCCGCGCGGCGCGAGGGCGGCGCCCAGGAGCTGCAGGCGGCACGCCGCGAGAGCAGGAGGCCCCCAGGAGGCCCCAAGAGGATCCCAAGAGGCCTCGTCCGCCGCCTCCTCCTCGGCCTCCTCCTCGGCCTCCTCCTCGGCCTCCTCCTCGGCCTCCTCCTCGGCCTCCTCCTCCGCTCCTCCTCCGCTCCTCCTCCGCTCCTCCTCCGCTCCTCCTCTTCCTCCTCCTCCTCTTACGTTTACATAACAGTGTTCAGTATTGTCCCTCCCTCTCCTCTCTCCTCCTCCTCCTACTCCCTCCGCCTCAGTCCTCCTCCTCCTCCTCCTCCTCCTCCTCCTCCTCCTCCTCCTCCTCCTCCTCCTCCCCTCCTCCGCCTTCTCCTCCCCTCCTCCTGAACTCCGTGGCCCTCCGGCGTGCCGTCGAGGCGAACGCCCCGCGAGCTGGAGGAGGCAGGGGGCGAGGATGGCTGCTAGATGGGATCCGGACTCCTCAAGCTGTGCTCCGCCTCCTCCTGGAGGTGGAGGGGCCCCGGCACAGGTGGGGCGTCCGGCTCAACGAGGTCGCCTACGGCAGCGGGGTGGACCACTGCCGGCTGCGACGAGGCCCCCGCCGCCGCTCCCGCGGATGGCGGCTGCTCAGAGTCGGCAGCACCCAGACATACTTCCAGTTGTGCGTGCGTCGGCCGCGCAATGGCGACGCGCACGCTCGGACATCTACAGTATAAGCTCCGTGGCGGGCGCTTCATGGCCGTGCCGCTCGGGAAGCGATTCGCTACCAGATCTTGTGCTGCCTGGTCGGGTCGGACGTGGGTCTCCGACAGAGGCCCGAAGGACTAGTGTGTCCTGATGCGTCCCATAGAGGAGGAGGAGGAGGAGGAGGAGGAGGAGGAGGAGGAGGAGGAAACGGAGGAGGAGGAGGAGGAGGAGGAGGAGGAGGAGGAGGAGGAGGAGGAGGAGGTACCGATACCGCTGGGCCTCCTGGGAGGCCCTCGTCGCCACGGCTGGATTCGCTCCGAAGTCCTGGTCAGAGCGCGCCCTTGGAGAGGCCCGAGGAGTGGCGGCATCGGTACCTCTTGATTCCCCGAGCAGCAGCACCACCAGGGTTAAATCGGGCCTGTCCCTCTACAGGAGGAAGGTTCAAACATAGTCATGAAATAGTCTGGGGACGATTTCTCGATCTCTTTGATAACTTTTTGTGATCGGAGGTGAGGGGGTGAGATCGAGGTGGAACGGAGAGCCCCCCTACCGGGAAGTCGATTTCGGTTTCGTGTTCGTGCGTGCCGTGCGTGCGGGCGAGGCGAAGCTGCGTGGGCGGGCTAGACACAGTCTCCTGTGGCTGAGGCGCGGCCGGACCAAATGTTTCCCTTCCGGGCGGCCAGTGGCGCGCGGTGTCCCGCCGGTGTCCCGCTGGTGTCCCGTCGGTTCTCCTGTGGCTGAGGCGCGGCCGGACCAAATGTTTCCCTTCCGGGCGGCCGGTGGCGCGCGGTGTCCCGCCGGTGTCCCGCTGGTGTCCTCTGTGGCTGAGGCGCGGCCGGACCAAATGTTTCTAGGTCTGGGCGGGGCCGGGCGGCCTCGTGGTTGTCCCGCGGTGTCCCGCTGGTGTCCCGTCCCGGTGTCCCGTCGGTGTCTCGGATGATGATGTTTGATGATGATATTGATGATGATTATGTAGTATGATGGTGATTAGATGAGGTGATCATGATGAGTGATGAATGGCGATGGTGATGATGATGATGTGATGATGATGATGATGGTGATGATGATGATGATGATGATGATGATGATGATGATGATGATGATGATGATGATGATGATGATGCTGATGCGATGCTGATGCTGATGCTGATGCTGATGATGATGATGATGATGATGATGATGATTATGATGATGATGATGATGATGATGATGATGATGATGATGGTGGTGGTGATGATGATGATGATGATGATGATGATGATGATGCTGATGTTGATGATGATGGTGATGATGATGATCATGATGATGACGTCGATTGTGAGATCGATTGTGATATCGATAGTGAGACTGAATGTGAGATCGATTGTGAGATCGATAGTGAGATCGATTGTGAGATCGATAGTGAGACCGAATGTGAAACCGAATGTGAGATCGATTGTGAGATTGATTGTGAGATCGATAGTAAGATCGATAGTGAGACCGAATGTGAGACCGAATGTGAGATCGACTGTGAGATCGATTGTGAGATCGATAGTAAGATCGACAGTGAGACCGAATGTGAGACCGAATGTGAGATCGATAGTGAGATCGATTGTGAGATCGATAGTGAGATCGATAGCGAGATCGATAGTGAAATCGATAGTGAGATCGAATGTGAGATCGATTGTGAGATCCATAGCGAGATCGATTGAGTGAGACGTTGGTTCCCCCTCCCCCCTCACCTCCTTATCACCCGCAGGGTGGTCGTATAGGTACTTATGGGGTATTTTAGATTTTTCTTCCACAACCCGCCTGTAGGAGGGCACGCCCGACCGAACACTAGGGACGAGAGGCAAGAGGAGTTCGAGGCTGAAGGTCCGTGGGCCGGCTGCGTCCAACGGACCGCGGCCCGATCGGAGCAGACAGGACGACACAGCAGGCAGTGCTCTTTTTAAAATCTCGCGCGTCCCTCTACAGGAGGAATGTTCAGAAGTAGTCAGAGAATAGCCAGGGGACGATTTTCACTATTTTTGGCCACTTTGGGGTATTTTGAGCTCGTTTGTTTTCTTCCAAAACCCGCCTGTAGGAGGACCTGATGCGACTTTTGGTTTCTCCAGCTGCCGCGTCCGCGGAGGGCGGCTGCGGGCTTCGACCCGGGCCAGGCGCCTCCGCGCGCGGCAGCCAGGTCGAGGAAGGGTGCCGTCTTGGAGCGCCTCGGGGCAGGGCTTGGCCCTGCCTTGCCCTTTTTTGCCTCGGCCGTGCCTCGACCTCTTCCTCCTCCTCCTCCTCCTCCTCCTCCTCCTCCTCCTCTCACAGAGACCTCTTAAATGGCGCCTCCGTCGTCCTCGACCGGTATCTTCAGGCCCCAGCTGTGATCTGCAAGCGGGTGCCTCTGTCTCCGCGCTGGTTTAATGGCCGCGTGTCGCTGCACGGGCCCTGCGAGCGTCAACCCAGTCCTCTTGAATGTGCACAAGGAGGACGACGAGGGGGACGATGAGGAGGGCGAGAAAGAGGAGGAGGAGGAGGAGCAGGAGGAGGAGGAGGAGGAGGAGGAGGAGGAAGAGGAGGAGGAGGAGGAGGAGGAGGAGGAGGAGGAGGTGTGGTGGTGGTGGTGGTGGGGGGTGTTGGTTGTGGTGGTGGTGGTGGTGGGGGGTGAGGAGGAGGAGGAGGAGGAGGAGGAGGAGGAGGAGGAGGAGGAGGAGGAGGAGGAGGAGGAAGAGGAGGCGCAGGAGGAGCACCAGTGCAAACCCAAGACTCATCAACGTTGTTGGAATACACCCTCACTCCAAGCTTTCTCTTCACAGGCCCCTACACGGATTCATTTCCACTGGAGGAACTGCCCTGTTGGGGAACAATCGCTTGAAGATCCTGAAGCGTGCCAAAACATTCTCGGGATTCCGACGTCAACCTGACTGTTGCGTCTTGAAGGTCCTGAATCGTGCCAGAACGCCGTTCTTGGGATTTCGACAGCGACCCAATGCAATTGTTGCGCCCTGACAATCCTGAATCGCTCCAAGACGGAATTTTTGGTACGCCAACTCAGGGAATCCGTGAAACTCTTGTAATGTTTGAAACGACTGTGCGCGGCGCGAAGGCCAGAGCCACATTCTAAAAAGGAACCCGTCCCCAATCCATGAAATTCGTGTTTCCAAGGCAGCGAATATGTGCGGGGCTACGGCGAGAGCCACATGTTAAAACGGCCCGCCCTCAATGCGTGAAACTCTTGCATTTGTTCAACGAGTGTGCGCGGCCGTAAGGCGAGAGCCACAGTTTGAAAACCGCCCGCCCTCAATCCGTGAAGCTCTTGCGACGATTTGACTCAAACGTGCGCGGCGGCAAGGCGAGAGCCACATTTTGGAAGCGACCCGCCCTCAATCTGTGAAGCGGTGGCCAGCTTTCAAGCTTGGGGCTCCTAAGTGGCAAGGAAGTCTCAGGCGAAACGCTCGGCCCGCTCTTCCGACCAGCCTCGGGGTGCGACAGGAAGGATCAGCCACGCGCAGAGGGGGGTGGGGGGAGGGGGGAGGCTTCTTAGAAGCACCTCTGCTTCTTAGAGGCGCGGGCCTTGTCTATAGATTGTAAGGCGGCGCCTTCTAAGAAGCAGAGGTGCTTCTAAGAAGCCCTCCTCCCTCCCTCCACCCCCTTGTGCGCGCCGCCAAGAGGAGTACATGATAAAAGGCATGGAGGGCCAGGGGCATGTGGCCGGCGCGCGGGACGACGTTCGTTGCCAGCAGGGAGTGTGCTCCTGGCCCGAGAGGCGCGCCCAGGCCCCCGCCCATCTTGGACTCCTCTCGGGGCTCCTCTTGGGGCCTCTTCGGGGCCTCGTGGGAAGCCTCCGCCAGGCCCCAAGGGCTTGACGACTTTTCGCCGGTCGACTTGTGAGCATCAAGCCAGAAGATCGATGCACATCCAGAGACATGAGGTGGATCCTCGGCGTGCATCCAGAGAGGGAGATGCGGTCGGGAATTTTTGGATAGCGTGTCGCGGCGGCGGCCCCGGCGACACGCTATGCCTTGCGAGTGGATAGCGTGTCGCTCCGCTCCACGGGGCGGGGGGGCTCGGAAAAACTCCGGACGTGTACGCTTGGGGACCCAGAAGTGGAAAGCATGTCGCGCCGAAGCGTGGTGGGCCGGAACCGACGGAGCGACACCGCTGTTCCAAAGTTCCCGACCGCAACTACGTCGAGAAAAATCCAGAGAGGGAATTGTGGAGCAAATGGTGGACGCTCCAGCGCTTGTCGAGGAGCAGCAGATCGGACGGGGCTAGGAAAGGGATAAGTCCGTTTCAGAGCGTTCGGAACGCTCTTGGAGCGTCCCGGAATGCTCGGAGAAGGTTGCGGCGCCCGAGACATCCTCCAGAGCCGCCTGATATCAGAGATTCTCGGTCCAATTGTATTCTCGTCCTGGCTTCGTCTCAGCAGGGGTCGTGAAACCCTTGCTCGGAATCCCCCCGGCCTTCTGAGAAGTTTTCTAAGCCTTCCCCGCAGACACAGACAATTTCTCAGAAGGCGCGAGGGCTTCTGAGAAGGCCTTCTCCCTTCCAGTTCCCTCCCTCTCAGGAGCGAAAGAAGGGCGTACCCGTACATGAATCCACGGTGGTTTCGAGAGTATGCATTGCGCGAACTGTTCTATCATGCGGCTGGTCTCGCGGATCCGGGGGCAGTGTTCATGTACGTGGGTGGGCGCGTACGTCTTTTTGGGGGGCTCCCTACCCTCGCTCGCCGCCGTGCCGTAGCAGGGGCCGTGGAGCCCTTCTAGCGCCTCGGGCCCCACGGGGACCACGGCGTCGTGGCCCCAAGGGCCAGGACCAGGACGCCAACGCCTCAGCTCCCCCTGGCCTCCCGCTCTCTCGCCCGCGCGCTCTCCTCCTCCTCCTCCTCCTTCTCCTCCTTCTCCTCGTCCACCTCGCCTTCCTCATGATCATTCTCGCCCTCCTCCTCCTCCTCCTCCTCGTCCTCGTCCTCCTCGTCCTCCTCCCCCTCCTCGTTCACCTCGTCTTCCTCCTCATCGTGGTCGTCGTCGTCCTCATCGTCTCTGTCGTCGTCATCGTCGTCGTCTTCGTCCTGATCATCATCACCACCATCACCACCATCATCATCATCGTCATCATCATCATCATCATCATCATCACCACCATCATCATCAGCATCATCATCATCATCACCATCATCACAATCATCGTCGTCGTCATCATCATCATTGCCAACACCAACATCATCATCAACACCACCATCACCATCACCAGCATCATCACCATCACCACCATCACCATCATCATCACCATCTCCATCATCACCATAAGCATCATCATCAGCATCAGCATCAGCATCAGCATCGGCATCACCACTAGCACCATCACCATCACCATCATCATCATCACCACCATCATCATCATCACCATCACCATCACCATAACCATCACCATCACCATCACCATCACCATCACCATCATCATCACCATCACCATCACCATCACCATCACCATCACCATCACCATCACCATCACCATCACCATCACCATCACCATCACCATCACCATCACCATCACCATCACCATCACCATCACCATCACCATCACCATCACCATCACCATCCTCCTCCTACTCCTCCTCCTCCTCGTCATCCACATTGTCATCGTCATCGTCATCGCCAAGGTCATCGTCATCGTCAAGATCATCGTCATCGTCATCGTCATCGTAGTCATCGTCATCGTCATCGTCATCGTCATCTTCATCGTTATCTTCGTCATCGTCGTCGTCGTCCTCCTCCTCCTCCTCCTTCACCTCCGAATGGCTGAGTGGCGGCGGCCGTTTTGGGCAACCACGCTGCCCTCTCTGCGTTTTCCACGCTCCGATAGGAGTTCGCACGTGTGGGACGAGTCATGGACTCTGGAGCCTCCCCTCATCCTTCGTATAGTAGATTCCGAACGAGACACAGGCGAGCTTTTTTTCCCAACCATCATGTGGTGTTGGGTCCTCGTTTTGAAGAGACGGTGGCCCGCGTCTCCTCTCCTCTCCTCTCCTCCTCCTCCTCCTCTCCTCTCCCTCCTCCCCCCTCCTCCCTGCGTTTCACCCACGCAGTACAGCGTTTCGTGGCCCCATAGGGAGCTCCACTCAAGGCTCCAGTGGCTGCGTTCGCATGGCGGCCCCGCCCCATTTCGGCACAGCCCTCACGAGGATCGTGGCCCCATAGGGAGCTCCACCGAAGGCCCCAGTGGCAGCGTTCGCATGGCGGCCCCGGGCCATTTCGGCACACCCTTCACGAGGATCGTGGCCCCCAATAGGGGAGCTCCACGAAGGCCCCTGTGGTGGCAGCGTTCGCATGGCGGCCCCGCCCTCATTTCGGCACCACCCCTCACGAGGATCGTGGCCCCGATTAGGGCGCTCCACGCGAAGGCCCCCAGTGACGCAGCGTTCGCATGGCGGCCCCGCCCCATTTCGGCACAACCCCTCACGAGGATCGGGCCCCATAGCCCGAAGGCCCCAGTGGCAGCGTTCGCAGCGCCCCCGCCCGTTTCGCGGCACACGCCTCACGAGGATCGTGGACCCATATCCTAAGGCCCCAGTGGGCACGTTTCGCATGGAGACATGAAGAAAGGCGGCCCGATGGCCAATGTTGGACAGCCCATCACGAGGATCGTGGCCCCATAGGGAGCTCCACCGAAGGCCCCAGTGGCAGGGTTCGCATGGCGGCCTCGGGCCATTTCGGCACACCCCTCACGAGGATCGTGGGCCCGTAGGAGCTTCACCGAAGGCCCCAGTGGCAGGGTTCGCATGGCGGCCTCGGGCCATTTCGGCACACCCCTCACGAGGATCGTGGCCCCGTAGGGAGCTCCCCCGAAGGCCCCAGTGGCAGGGTTCGCATGGCGGCCTCGGGCCATTTCGGCACACCCCTCACGAGGACCGTGGCCCCACTGGAGCTCCACCGAAGGCGCCAGTGGCAGGGTTCGCATGGCGGCCCCGGGCCATTTCGGCACACCCCTCACGAGGATCGTGGCCCCATAGGGAGCTCCACCGAAGGTTCCAGTGGCAGCGTTCGCATGGCGGCCCCGCCCCATTTCGGCACACCCCTCACGAGGATCGTGGCCCCATAGCCGAAGGCCCCAGTGGCAGCGTTCGCATGGCGGCCCCGGGCCATTTCGGCACACCCCTCACGAGGATCGTGGCCCCATAAGGGAGCTCCACCGAAGGCCCCAGTGGCAGCGTTCGCATGGCGGCCCCAGGCCATTTCGGCATACCCCTCACGAGGATCGTGGCCCCATAGGGAGCTCCATCGAAGGCCCCAGTGGCAGGGTTCGCATGGCGGCCCCGGGCCATTTCGGCACACCCCTCACGAGGATCGTGGCCCCATAGGGAGCTCCACCGAAGGCCCCCAGTGGCAGGGTTCGCATGGCGGCCTCGGGCCATTTCGGCACACGGGGACGCCGTCCTCGTGGTCGTCGGCGCCCACGAAAACGGCCACAAACGTGTCCCTGAGCATGTCGGGCTCCGGCGGGAAGCCGTGGCCACATAGGGAGCGCGGGCGAAGATGGTATTCACAATTGCTGTATCCACAATTGCGTATGGTTGGGTCCTTCGCCAGGCTAATTTCCACGGGGATCAAACTGACCTGCATCGGTCAGGTAACCCAGTCCGCCCCACGCTTCCGACTCTAGGCTCCTCGGGTTCGGGGCGCTCGTCAAAGAACATACCGAGTCTGAATTTATTTCGTTTCGGCATTCTTCGGCCTCTGGCGTCGGTCCTCGGTCCTCGGGGCCGCCCACGGGGCGACTCGTGAGGCGAGGCGGGTCTTCTGGGAGGGCGTCGAGCGAAGGCCCCGGGGCCCCGATGCTCGAAGGCCTATCGCGCCGTGGGGCGTCTGGGCCCGGGCCCCGTCTTGGGGGGGGCGTCCTCCTCCTCCTCCTCCTCCTCCTCCTCCTCCTCCTCCTCCTCCTCCTCCTCCTCCTCTTCCTCCTCCTCCTCCTCCTCACTCCTCCTCCTCCTCACTCCTCACTCCTCCTCCTCCTCCTCGCTCCTCTCCTCCTCCTCCTCCTCCGCTTCCTCCTCACTACCCTCGTCCTCACTCTCCTCCTCCTCCTCCTCCTCCTCCTCCTCCTCCTCCTCCCTGGAGAGAGGGCCCCAGCTTGGGCGCACCTCGGGCTCGCCTCGGGCCGAGGTGGGGTGGCCGCATGCGGCCAGCCACGGCTGAGCGACGTGCAGGCGGGCCGCTGAGGTCACCACCCACCAAACCACCCCAACCCAACCCGACGGCTCAGATTTACCCTCCATTTCCAGTGGGGGGGGGTCGGGAAACATCGAAAAAACACATGTGGAACCCTTACCCCCCCAACCCGAAATTCGGGTCTTCGGGTTGGGTTGGGGTGGTCTGGTAGGTAGTCAGGAGAAGGAGCCCTTCTCGTGGGGGAGGGGCTCACTGTTCCCTGCTCGTTTGGCAGTCTGTCTCGGGCTGTCCTGGGGTTTCCGCTGGGATATCGAGGCTTAGCCTATATGGAGAAATGGGGCCTCGTTCCCCATTTGGGGCTCTTTGGTGGCAGCGTTTCGACTGTCGAAGACGGGGGCCGTCCTCGCCGACGCTGGCGCGTGAGCTGCCCGCGTGAGGCCGTGCGCAGAAGCGCCCTCAGTCCCAACGCGGCGCGCCACACGCCGGCGGCCTGCGTGAGCCACCGCGCAGGGTCGCCATATGCCATCTCGCGGAAGACCCGTTTCTTGTCGTCGCTCCATTGCGGGGGCCGTGGTCCCGAGGAGGAGGAGGAGGCGGAAGAGGAGGAGGAGGAGGAGGAGGAGCAGGAGGAGGAGGCCCCGGGGGGGATGTCGGCACCCCTCTCGAGGTATCGTCGGCACGATGGGTTCCCCTGGGGGGGGGGGGAGTACGGTCAGGAGCTCTTGCTCAGCAGTGTCACGCCGCCGGACCTGGCCCAGCACACCTCGGCGCGACACGCTGACCACGTCCCAGCCCTGCCCCCAATCATCAACTTCCCGAGTTTTCCTGTCCGCTTGCGGGGCATGGCGACACCACCGCCGCGACACGTTTAGCAAAAGGTCCTGATCGAAACCACCCAGACATCGGATGTCTTGACTTATTCAATGCGGGGCCCCCAGAAGTCCCGACCCCTTCCCCTGGGCTGGTTCTTGAGCCCGAGTCGCTTCTGGACGGTCAGAGGGGCCAGGCGAGGGCCCCTGGAGGCCAGAAGCGATTCAAGCCTTTCCGTCGTGACTCTTTCACGACGCGAGCACGTCTGGCGATGGGCTTCACCAGGGGGTGAAGGTTCACGGCTCCCCCGGCTGTGGCTGCGCGCCCACGTCTGGCGAGAACCCCGCCTCCGCAGGGGGTGCCGCGCCCCACGACCTGGAAGACGACGGCCCGGCCATCGCCCGGATCCTGCAGGAGACGCGGCGGCGGGGGCCCGGGCCACCCAAGAGCATCCCAGAACGGGGTCCGAGCAGGTGGGGCCGGAGGATCGCGCCGCATCCCCAGGATCTCCGACGATGTGAGCTTTTTCCGTCCGGGCGTATATTTCCTCGAGATCTCGGCCTCTGGGGCCGGTCCTCGGGCACAGGGGCCATCAAACGTGGATCCCGGGCGAAGAGCTGGCCCAGATCGGAGGCTGTCCTGGGTCGGCGATGCGTCGGCGATGCAGCTCGATGTGGAGCCCGCCGATCTCCACGCCGACGGCGCAAAGGCATCGCCGAGGCAGCGGCGATGCGTCGGCGATGCCGCCGCGACTCTCCGACCCCGTCTGCTCGGAACCCATGGATGATGATGATGCTGATAATGATGATGATGATGATGCTGCTGATGATGATGATGATGATGATGATGATGATGATGATGATGATGATGATGATGATGATGATGATGATGATGATGATGATGATGATGATGATGATGATGATGATGATGATGATGATGATGATGATGATGATGATGATGATGATGATGATGATGATGATGATGATGATGATGAGGAAGAGGAGGAGGAGGAGGAGGAGGAGGAGGAGGAGGAGGAGGAGGAGGAGGAGGAGGAGGAGGAGGGGGATGGGGGAGGAGGAGGAAGAGGAGGATTACGAGGTCTGCAGTGGGTGGGGGCCCAAGGGGGTGAGCGCGGCGGGCGCCCAGCTCGTCCGTTTCCGCCGTCCATCGTCCGTTCGCGGCCCCTCCGTCTTCCAAAGGGTGGTGCTGGCGCCATTGGCCTAGGCAACCTTCGAAGAAGAAAAAACGTCATAAACATACGCTTTTGTCGCGCCGCCCCTGGCTCGCTTCGCGCGCCAGGGAAGGGGGGTCCAGCGCGGATCCAAGAAATCCGCGCGGAGCGCCAAAAGTTGAGGTTTATGGCGTTGTCTCGTTTCCTCAGCCTGGCGTCGTGGAGTAAAAAGGCAGAACGAGAGGGTTTTGGGCAGTTGTCGGCCTCCAGGGGGCCCCCCGCCCGGCCGCCCCGGACCGTCAGGGACGATTCCGGAGGAAGGGCCACTGCAGCGACGAGCACTACTGTGCACTCTTTTTGTAGGCGTTCCTGGCACGTCGGCCGAGGCTCCTGTGTCGGTCGGGGTGGCGGGCACGCCCAGCGTGGTCTAATCCATCGAAGCCCACCTGAAACGTTCAGAGGCTTTCTTCGCTCCCATGTCGTCGTAATACAGGGCTAGTGTCGGGCGAAGAGAACTATGCACATGCACCGATCCTGGCAAGGCCCATCCTTGACCCGGGATCGGTGCATATGCCTGCCTGGCCAAGGTGGGAGGACGTATGCACCGATCCTGGGCCAGGGTGGGCCTGGCCAGAATCGGTGCATGTGCATAGTTCTCTTTCCTCTATAGTGAAGGTGTCCAGGTGTCTGCCACGAGGTGCGAAGGCGACGCGTAATCTCTCGGACAGCTTTTGTGCCGCTGGCGGTGCGGCGCGATGCAGGACCGGTCCCGGGGGAAGGGGTCCACATCTCTGGGGAGCCACGCTGAGAAAACGTCCTCGCGTAGGGGTGGGGCTCTGTGCTCGTGACTGCCCCCATCCAGTCCACCCGCCTGCATCTCAAGCGGCGAGTACGTATCCGCGCTCTCGCGGTCTGGATTCAGGGGGGGGATCCTGCGGACGCGAGGTCGCACGGATACGCTCCGCGCGGGGCATCCGCGAACAAAACGCCCCGTATCCGCGCGGTCGCGGCCCAGGCGTCCGGCCCGCGAGGCCGTGGATAGGAATCTGTTTTTCGCCCACGATGCTACGCCAGGTGGTAATTCGCCTATGCGTGGCCTGGCTTGGCGCGTCGCGACGGTTGGTCCGGTAGCAAATCATTGGAGCTTTGTGTGTGTGCTCGCAGCTCCGATCTATACAATGCATTCGCGTGCGCTCGTGGCAGTCGACGAGAGAGCGCGAGAGAGCGCCTCGCGCCGATCGGCCCTCGGTGGAGCGTCCGGTTGGCGCCGAGGGGCGTCGCCCAGCATCCTTCGGCGTCGACTCGCAGGAGCCAGCAGGATGGCATGGGAGGCCCCAGTGGCTTGCCACAGAAGGCGTCGCCACTTGGCCGCTGGAGGGAAAGTGTCTGGTTATGGCCTCCAGGGCCTCGGTCGTCGCACCGCCCTGCGCGTAATTAGTGAGGCTGCGCGCTGGCCGCGCGCGCCACCTTCGCCGGCCGGGGCGCTCTCGCCGCGCCGGCGCGGCGGCGCACCACGGGGCAGTGGCGGGCCGGCCAGCGGCACCACCGCGTGGGCGAGGGGATTTGAAGTGACCCAGCGCTGGTTTCCGGCGAGCAGGGCGGGGGAGGCGAGGTCGTCACCACCCACCAAACCACCCCAACCCAACCCGAAGGCTCAGATTTACCCTCGATTTCCAGTTGGGGGGGTCGGGAAACATCGAAAAAACACGTGTGGAAACCTTACCCCCCCAACCCGAAATTCGGGTCTTCGGGTTGGGTTGGGGTGGTCTGGTAGGTAGTCAGGTCGGGTTCTCGGTCCGAGGAGTTTGCTTGCCCTTTTCGGCTTCCGGGGGCCGCCCGGGGCTGCTCTCGGGCCCCGGGCAGCGGCAGAAACAGATCGGGGGTGCAAAGCTGGCCCAGATGGACCCCGAGCGGGGTCCAGGGACCGATTTGGCCTCATCCCCCGTCGTGGCCGAATTTCAGGGGTCCCAACCAGCTGAAGACCCTTTGGCTGCCTCCTCATCCTCCTCCTCCTCCTCTTCTTCCTCCTTCTCTTCTTCCTCCTCCTCCTCCTCCTCCTCCTCCTGCTCCTTTACCTGCTCCTCCTCCTCCTCCTCCTCTTCCTCCTCCTCCCCCTCCTCATCTCCCTCCTCTTCCTCCTCGTCCTCCTCCTCCTCCTCCCCCTCCTTCTCCTCCGCCTCCTCCTCCTTCTCCTCCTCGTCTTCCTCCCCCTCCTCCTCTTTCTCCTCCTCCTCCTCCTCCTCCTCCTCCTCTTCCCCCTTGTCCTTTTCTTGCTCCTCCTCCGCCTCCTCCGCCTTTTCCTTCTCCTCCTCCTCCATCTTTTCCTCCTCCTCCTTTTCGAAGGCAATTCGGGGGGGTCGGTCCATATGTTTTCGTCGACGAGTCGGCGACGGGGCGGCGTCGGCGGTCACATGGCCGCCAGACCGACCGTCGGGCGCAGATGACGGGCGGCGGCGAGGCGGCGACAGGGCGGCGACAGCGGCCGCACAGCCGCCAGACCGGCCGTCAGTCGCAGCCCCCTGGGAAAGAAATAGGCAAAAACTGTCTGGAAAACGTGGGTTCTCTCTCTCTCTCTTTCTCTCACGTTTTTTTTTTTTTTTTTTTTTTTTTTTTTTTTTTTTTTTTTTTTTTTTTTTTTTTTTTTTTTTTTTTTTTTTTTTTTTTTTAATATATATATATATATTATTTTTAATTAGAGATATATATTTAATTATTTATATATATATATTATATATATATATATAAAAAGACAATCGACTCTACCCCCCCTCCCCCGGCGTTATCCGTTCCCCTTTCGGGTATGTAAATCGTATATGATGCTGACCACATGACCATCCTAATAATGAATTTTCACTATCCCAAAGGGGGCCGGGATCGGTCCCTTGTGAAAAGCAATACGCGGGGACATCTTTTGTTCGAACATAAGACTTTTCCACGAATCCCTTGCAACAAATGGGACGAAGTGCGCACGCGCGCGTCGTCGCGCGCGCATGCCGAAATCCTTCAAAAACCTTCGGTGTCGGAAGCATTTCGCAATCGAGTTTCCAAAACACATACAAAAACACAGGTTTCGCAACAATGATTTGCTGAAAAAGCTTACGCGCGAGCTCTCGCGAAAGCTTACGAAAACCATTTTTTTTTTTTTTGTAAGTTTTAAAAAAAATAATAATTTCACAAAGTGCTGCCAAACGGGCTTCGCGCGCGCATGTCGAAATCTGTCGAAGGCCCTTGCGCGTGTGCCGTCGCGAGAGTCCTCTGCAAAAAACGGGACGAAGTGCAGACGCGCGCGTCGTCGCGCGCGTACGCCGAAATCCCTCAAAACCCATCGGCTTCGGAAGGATTTTAACATCGTGTGTCCAACAAACCTACAAAAACACAAGGTTTCGCAACACGGATTTTCAACAAAAGCGTGCGCGCGGGCTCTTGCGTCGTCGTCGTCGTCGTCGACGCCGTCCTCCCTCCTCCCGCGTCGTCGTCGTCGTCGTCTTCGCCTACGTCTTCTCCTCCGTCTTTCCTCGTGTTCGTCGTCGTCGTCCTCTTTGGCGTCGTGGTCGTTTCCGTCGTCGTTGTCGCCGTGGTCGTCCTTCCTCCTCCTCCCTCGTCGTCGTCGTCGTCCGTCGTCGGCGTATCGTCGTCGTCCCTCATATTTCGTCGCCGTCGTCGTCGTCGTCGTCGTTGTCGTCGTCGTCTACCCTCCTCCCCCGTCGTTGTCGTCGTCGGCGTCGCCGTCCTTCCTCCTTCGTCGTTCGCGTCGTCGCCGTCCTCCCTCCTCCCTCGTCGTTGTCGTCGTTGTCGTCGTTGTCGTCGTTGTCGCCGTCATCGTCCTCCCTCCTCCCTCGTCGTCGTCTTCGTTGGCGACGTCGTCGTCGTCGTCGGCGTCGTCGTCGTCGGCGTCGGCATCGTCGTCGTCTTCGTCGTCGTCGACGTCGGCGTCGGCGTCGTCGCCGCCGTCGTCGTCGTTGTCGTCGTCGTCGTCGTCGGCGTCGTTGACGTCGTCGTCGTCGTCGTCGTCGTCGGTGTCGTTGTCGTCGTCGTCGGCGTCGTCATCGTCGTCTTCGTTGTCATCGTCGTCGTCGTCGTTGTCGGCGTCGGCGTCGTCGTCGTCGGTGTCGTCGTCGTCGTTGTCGTTGTCGGCGTCGTCGAAGTTGTTGGAGACGTCGTCGGTGTCGTCGTAGTCGTTGTCGGTGGCGTCGTCGTCGTCGTCGTTGTCGCTGTCGTCGTCGGCGTCGCTGTCGTTGCCAAGTGCCA